CTCTAGAGTTGAGGTCTACTAGAGGTAGCACAGGAGCACTAAGGGCACAGCCTGCCTCTCCCCTTGTGAGAAGGAGGTAGCCCTATGTCATGCTATGCTGCAGGAACAAATATGCCTGGATTCAGACTACGTTCACTCCAGCTATTTTCTTCCATGCTGTCCTAATGCAATGGCTGCAGATGCTGGAAAAAATATTCTAGCACTAGTCCCAATACATATAAGCCACCACTCTGCCTGCTGCTACTGTACGAGGTCTTACTCAGTGCATTAGTCTTGACAAGGGAAGGGGCCCTGTGATAGAGAAAACAGTTGACCTTAGTCTGGCAAGCTTAATAATATCCAGTTTAATAAAAGGACAGGTAGCAATTCTATAGTGGAGAGTACAGATGTGGGTCTCGATCAAAAACCTGACCAGAAGCTACGTTAGGATGAACATGACTGGATTAGAACAGCTTGCTGCAGCACAGTCCAGAAAAGGTGAAATGTACTTATACCAGGGATGTCAAACTCATTTGGGAGTGAAGGCCAAGTTCCATTTTTAGTTGTCTTTGTTGAGATGTAGACAGGGCCCTTTGTAGTGGCATAATGGGACAGATGCCAAACCACTGTAATTTGCTGACTTCGTAATTCAGTGCTGAGTTCCAGCTCCTGGAGTCTCCTACTAATAGCAAACACAAAGCTTTCTCTTAAGTTTAAAAACTGAGCCATGTGTAACCAAACAAGTAATAGCTGCCTGAGGCGGCAGACATCTTGAAGAAAAGCTCTAGAAGGTGAATACTAGAACCCACTGTTCTAGGAGGCCTCTGGCAGGAGAAAGAGGACTGTCACTATAAGTTCTGGGGGACTCCCACCAATTGGTTAACATCACAGGAGCCATCCTGGCTCAGACTAGTGGTCCATCCAGCCCAGTATCCTGTCTTCCAACAATGGCCAATACCAAGTGCTTCAGAGGGAATGAAAAGAACAGGGCAATTATTGAATGATGCGTCCCCTGTTGTCCACTCCCAGTTTCTGGCATTTAAAGGCTAAGGTCACTAGAGCATGGGATTGCATCCCTGGCCATCTTGGCTAATACCTACTCAGAGACCTATCCTCCATGAACTTATCTAATTCTTTCTTGAACCCAGTTATACTTTTGGTCTTCACAACATTCCCTGGAAATGAGTTCCACAGATTGACTGTGTAATGTGTGAAGAAGTGCTTCCTTTTAAACCTGCTACCTATACATTTAATTGGGTGATCCCTGGTTCTTGTGTTACATGAAGGGGTAAATAACACTTTCTTATTCACTTTCTCTACTCCATTCATGATTTTATAGGCCTCTATCATATCATACATCCACTGGATCACCCTTGTCCACATGTTAGTTCACCCCCTCAAAGAATTCTAATAGATTGAGGCATAAATTTCCCTTTACAAAAGCTGTGTTGATTCTTCCTCAACAAATCATGTTCATCTATGCATCTGATAATTCTGTTCTTTACTATAGTTTCAATCAGTTTGCATGGTACTGAAGTTAGGTTTACTGGCCTGTAAGTGCCAGGATCTGCTCTGGAGCCTTTTTAAAAAATTGGTCTCACCTCCCCCCACCGCACCCCCTCAGAGTTGCTGCTGGACATGCTGGCCACTTCCCAGAGCAGCGTGGAGCCAGGGCAGGCAGGGAGCCAGCCTTAGTCCTGCTGCACCACCACCTGAGCTAAGCAGTGCCCAGCTGGAGCCTGAACCCCAGCCCTGAGCCCCCTCCTACACCCTTGCCCCAGGCTCAGCCTGGAGCCTCTCCTACGCTCCAAACCCCTTGGCCCCAACCCAGAGCCCACACTCTCTCCTGCACCCCAACCACCTGTCCCAGGCTGGTGAAAGTAAGGGAGGGTGGGGGGATGGAGTGAGCTGGGCGGGGCCTCAGGGAAGCAGTAGGGCAAGGGTGTTGGGTTTGTGTGATGGTTATTTCTACATTTTCTTTGAGGTAGAACCTGGGTTGCACTTAAATTTAAAAAGTGATCTTGTGCTTAAAAAGGTTGGAGACTACTGCCCTAAAGATTCTATAGTACTGTTTGATTCATTTGATTTTCAATATATTTAACTTGATGCTTTTTCACTTGTAGTGCCAGTCTCCCACCAGCACACCCTTCTGTCATTCCTGTAATATTGTCTACCCTGCTATTACTTTGTCCTGTTGATTATCATTGTTCTACCAAGTTTCTGTGATGCAGATTTTATCAATATCTTCACTGAATATCAGGCACTCAAGTTCACCTATCTTAGGATTTATACTTTTAGCATTTATATACAAGCACATGTACAATTCGTCCCTTTTTAGCTGTCTGCCTTTGTGATTTAGTTGAATGGTACCCTTGCATTTGCGGGTTTCTTTTCTGCTCCTAGCTAAGGCTTATCAACTTTCGTCCTCACCTCTTTATTAGGATATAGAGAATCCCCATTAATAGATCCTCTCCTAACCAATGTTTCTGCCCAAACCATGTGCGCCTCTGTAAATGTCAGCTTTCCCCCAGCCCTTAGTTTAAAACTTATCTACAATCTTATTTTAGTTGCCAGCAATCTGGTTCCATTTTGGTTTGGTAGAGCCCATCCTCCTTCTACAGTAGTGTTTCCCAACCTGTGTGCATGTGGCCCAAACAGGTGTGCCATGGAATTTTTTTAAACTAGTGTGAGAACAAAGGGGGGAATGCTGCCTTCTGATTGGCTGTTTGCCTGACTGTCCCACCTCCACCACAAGTGGAACAACCAATCAGAGCTTCAACTCCCTCTCTTCCCCCCCCCCTCTTCTCCAGTATGAGCAACAGGTCAGCTCTTCCCTCCTGCAGGAGACATGGGGAAGAGCCCTAGGAGCTGGAGGTGTAAAGGTTGGGAACTATTGCTCTAGAGCAGGGGTAGTCAATAGACTGACTGTAGGCCAAATCCAGCTCCTGCCATGTGCTTTTGAATGAACCCTGGAATCTTTTTATTTACTTATCATTATTGTGATTATTATTTAATTTTCTCTGGAGTCTGGACCTTGACCAAAAATAGATTACTGCTGCTCTAGAGGCTCCTCCTTTCCAAAAGATCCCCCAGTTCCTAATGAACCTAAACCCCTTTTCCCTACACCATTGTCTCATCCATGCAGTGACACCTTGCAGTTCTGCCTGTGTAACTGGCAGCATATCAGAAAATGCTACCACGGAGGTCCTGGACTTCAATATTGTACCTAGCTCCTTACATTTGGCTTTCAGGACCTCTTTCCTTATTTCATTGGTACCTATTTGTACTATGACTACCAGCTTCTCCCCAGCACGTCACATAAGCCTGTCTAGATGTCTCAAGAGATTTGCAACCAACAGGCAATTCACCATGTGGTTCTCAGGCTCAGCACAAACCCAGCCGTCTACATTTCTAGTGATCAAATCTCCCATTGCTATTACCTAGCTATTTCTAATAAGTGGGATTCCCTCCGCCGGAGAGGAATTTCAGTGTGAGGAGACAACCATGGCATCTGGAAGGAGGGTCCCAGCTATAGGATCATTTCCCTCTACTATGATGTTCTTTGCCAGGAGTTTCATCCTCCTCAGTAGCACAGAGACTGTCAGATGGGGTGGAACCACTCTGTGTCTAGGAAAGTCTCAGCTACGTGCCTCTCCGTCTCCCTTCGCTCCTCCAGTTCAGCCACTCTGGTCTCCTGAGCCTTTATGCTGTCTCCGAGGGCTATGAGTTCCTCGCTCCAAATGCGCACACGCAACCTGGCCGGTAATCATATGCTGTATTCGCTACAGTAAACTGGATAGTCCCCACTCTGCTGCTGGACTTCTGCATGCATTTTTTACACTCCTGTAGCTTTTTTGGGGGGTGGGAGGGAGTTTATTGGTCTAAGTTTAAAGAATGTTAATTAGGTGTGTCACGGAAACTCCACAGAAAACAAGAAAAACCCCCACTTCGTCACAAGGTGCATCTAGCTCTTGCAAAACTGTTAGCTAGCTCCTCTGCTCACTTAGGGCTTGTCTACACTACCCGCCGGATCGGTGGGCAGCAATCGATCCAGCGGACGCAATAAATCGACCGCTGAGCGCTCTCCCGTCGACTCTGGTACTCCACCAGAACGAGGCGTGCAAGCGAAGTTGACAGGAGAGCGTCAGCTGTTGACTTACCACAGTGACGACACCGCAGTAAGTAGATCTAATTACATCCACTTCAGCTACACTATTCATGTAGCTGAAGTTGCATATCTTAGATCGACACTGCGCAGTAGTGTAGACAAGCCCTTAGCTGGCTTTTTAAATCCCTGCTCTCCCTGAGTAGCCCTGTCCCCTGGTTAAAGATTAATGGGTGCTAAAAGGAATAGAGATCAAAGCTTTGTTAAGAAGCTCTCAGCCTTGCCTAGCAGGCTGCTAGGCGCAGCAGATGGATCCCAAATCAAACCACACTATATACTTAAATCAGGCAGCAAGCACACAAACTCACTTCAATGGTCATGTAGTCACTCCTTCAGCTGGAGAACTTCCTTGCAAAACTCCCATTAGCTGCTCCTCCTTCAAGGACTGAAGGTGGCTCCTGCCACCACCATTTTAAGTGGGATCACAGCAAATCCCTTCCCCCCCCCCCCCCCGCCCCCATCAGACTGCTTCTAGGGTCCCACGTTGCCTCAAGACAACCTTGTGCACGTTGCAGCCTTGGCAGGACAGAACTTGGCCTGTTCTTCAACCGTCACACTTCATATGCCTCCCCCATGGGCACCCCTCAAATGAGAATAGTCCTGTCAAGCCAAAAGTTGTTCTGCAGAGGTACAGCCATCTACCTCAAACATGGTAAGAATAGACCAGAAAAGCCACCCCAAACATTAATTCTTTGGCTGGTGCTTAGAGCAGTGGCACAGTATGCACTGAGTTGAAGCAGCCAGTACAACACCTTCACTCAGACAAAGAAGAAATACATGCTGTTCTTTTCCACCTTCCACATAGAGCCTTGGGGCCTCAAACCACCTGCAGGTGGAATAAAAATAATTCCCAAAGGAGAGTTTTCTAACTTTATTAAAAAGGGCAAATTTTACAGCCAGTAAATAGAAAAAAAATATACATAATGAATCCTAGGCCGTTCAGGGGGGCAAAACAGAGCCCATTCACTTAACACCAGTTCCCACACAATCCACAGTAACAGCACAGAACATCTTAGGGTCGTGGTGGGCGCATACCAGGGGGTGGGGGACCTGGAAGGAAAAGAACAAAGGCCATCAGTTGAAAAGTCTACAAAGAACAAGAACGCATATGAAGCAAGGCCACACAGAAAATGCTATTCAGCAACAGTACAGTTCATTGCTTCAAAAGGCCTAGAGGCCCTTCTTAGGACGCTGAATGGTTTTACAGGGCAGTTTAGTTTCTCAATTGTCTTAGCTGGGGAACATAGTTCTGCTCCACCATACTCTACTGAAGTGTATACATTGTCACAGTCCCACACTTCTGCTTACAGTGAAGAAACTGGATACCACCCTCCCCACATGCCAAGAAGGCTCACTCACCTCTCATCCCTGGGGGCGGCGGTCTCATCCCTGGGGGAGGCATTCCCATGGGTGCACCTCGGCCAGGTGGCATTCCCATTGGTGGACCCATGGGTGGTCTCATGCCAGGAGGTGGTCCCATCATTCCTGCAATGGAAGGAAGAGGACAAGTCTCAGAACTGGTACAGACACTTGCTACACCTAAGATAGAGATGAGAATTCCACCACAGATTGGCAATATAAGAAGCACTGAGGCTCACACTCCCAACCCAGAGAGAAATAAGCAGAAGTCTCCAGCAGATTCTTTGCTTACTATTTGCTACAGTTCCATGTTGAATATAACCACAACTCACTGCTAAAACTACTGGCTGGACCTCAGAGTAATCCTGCTTAATACCAATTCTTCATTGGGTTCAGATAAAGTCAAGATTCATCATCAATCCAGCCACACCCTATGATCCTTCTCTTGACCTAGACCACAAAAAAAGCTGTTCCTTACCTGGAGGAGGTGCTCCTCTGCCCATTGGAGGGGGAGGACCACCACGGCCTGGTGTGTACTGGGTAGGAGCTCCTGCTATACTAGCTGTGGCTGCAGCAGCAGCAGCAGCAACTGTTCCACGGCCCTGAGGGGTCATCACCTGTGAACAGAAAGAAAATTCACAAATACTGCACAAAGTGTTGCTTTTATAGCAAATGGGACAATGAGAAGAAAGGTTTAACTTCATTTCTCATGCCTTAGGACTTTTAGCCCATTTCCATTTCATGTATGAGTCCTCGTTACAAGACAGGGCTGCACACCCTTAACATACTACTGTGGGGGGAATTCAGTGTAGAATTATACTAAGTGGGTTTTACGCAGGAAGCTGCATTTTTCCTTCAAACCCTTCCCTATCAGTGCATGAGCCACAGATGTGCGGAGGAGTCTGCTATGCTACATGCTAGTCCCAGGACCTCAGTTAACAGTCTATTTTTGGATTGCTGTTGCCTAGCACAATCACTTGAACCACACCAGAGCCAAGAGATTGAAATCTATTCAAAATACAGTAATCAAGAGTTAAGTCCTTTCTTCTACTGAACCACAGCATTTCACCTGTTGGGATGGTCCTCCGACTCCTCTGACAGGACCAGCTAACCCTGCTGGCGCCTGTGGCATGGGGGCTCCAGCTGGTACTCCTCTTCCAGCTGCCCTCCCAACTCCAGGTCCTCCTGCAGCTCCAGCTAGAGGCACCCGGGCAATGCCAGTCTGAAACATAGGGAAATACAAGCAATCAGTGATTTCAGTACAGCAAGATGCTTCAGACCCCCAAGCACTTCATCTCTAATGGGTGTAAGCTGCTGCAGATCAAGTTAGACTTTGCACAGTGAAATCCCCTGGATTTAGACACAGGCTAGTGCTGGGAAAGAGTGGAGCTAATGACTAGCCATTTAAACCCTGTTGGCAATGGAGACTGGATTTATCTGACCCTTTTGGTTCTGCACCCATCCTTCTCCTTACATCTTTTGGAGGTGGCCCCTCAACTGTCATAGACACCAGGTTCTCTCCACGCAGCAATACCAGACCCAGGACCCGTTTCTCTTCCCGTTCCGGCTGCTTTGAATTCTTGGGTCTGAGAGAGAGAGAGAGAGAGAGAGAGAGACGTTAGTTATTAGAGAAAAGCATTCCTCTGAACACCACTGTTCAAGTCTGTGACAGATACCTCATCCAACTATTCCAAAACTGGTGATGTTCCCCCCCATCCCAAGAACACACCAAAGCTGTCACTGAAGGGAGGGAACAGGCTCCATAAAATTGTTTCCCTGGCTTGTTTTACCTGTTTGAATCAGAAGTGGGGAAGAGAACATGTATGCACACCTCCCAAAATCCATAGAGGTTATTAGAATCCTATCAACACAGCAACCAAATCAATTCACCCATGTTTTTCAAACTAACACTTAATGCTGCAATCCCTGCATTCTAACTCCTCCGCTAGAGCTGCAGGAATAAAGTGGGCATAGAGAAGCATGGAAATAATCAGAACCAGAGATACAGTGCTACCCTCATCTCAAACACCACAACCACCAAGTCAACCAGCTCTCCGAGTCCACAATAGAAGCAGCAGGCAGGTGATTCAGAAAGCAGAGATGAAGATCTATTACAAGATCTAGTCAGTCCAACTTTCCAGGGCCAGGATAAGATTGTTCCCTAGCGTACACTCCTCTAATAGTAACCCACATTAGCAGAGTGGTAGCCGTGTTAGTCTGAATCTGTAAAAAGCAACAGAGGGTCCTGTGGCACCTTTAAGACTAACAGAAGTATTG